GTTTTTGGCCGCCCCAACCAAGCCCGATTCCCCCGGCGTTGCGCTGTCCGTAGATACTGTAAATTGCACTGCCTGGTCATCTATCAAGTCCTGGATTGGGTCTACTGCGTCGCACGTGGTCCTTTTACAAAAACACAGGCTACGGGGCAGTGAATCCATAGGAGAAGCTTCCAAATGGGCAACGTCTTAACGGTTGGCATGGGCTGTTCGCCCCCGCTCTCTCGGCTCCTGGGGGTGGCGCCTCAGGGGGGCGTAGCCATTCTGGCTAGACAGCTTCTGGATTTGTATGCTCCCACGGGGGGGCTCGATTTTGGCCACTGGCAGGGCCATCCAAGGTTGCATGCAATTTCCAGGAGGCCACACCGTGCAGCTGCTCAGTATATGGGGCGTTCCGACCGTAACCTTCAATTGATTGCAGACGCGGGCAGCGTGCTCGACATTTCCGACCTGCCCTTCTTGGTAGGCGCCGATTTCAATCTGCTGCCTGACACGCTCAAGTCCAGTATGTTTTCGTCCAAGCTGCCTTCCAACATCGCCCTTCCCGATGCTCCTGGAACGTGTTTGGGATCTGGGGGACAACTTAACATGCACGACGACCTCGTGGTCTCCTCGGGGCTCACCAAGGCTATTTCGAAGATCGCGGTCGATCACGGGTCGGATATTAGGACACATTATCCTACGATGATTGAGTTGCATGCTGATGTGACCTCGTTGCACGCTCTCTCGTTCGCGAAGATCCCCAGGATTCAGGTTGAGGTTCCCATCGGGACAGTAAACAAGCCCCCATCGGCACAGGTGGTGCTGGATTGCGCCCGACATGGTTTCGAACTTGCACAGAAGCGTGCTAATCGTTCGGATGTCCAGCGCCACCAAGACACTTTGTACCATGTTTGGGCCGATGCTGAGGCGGAGCTCTGTATTTCAAGATTCGCGCAGTCTCGGGCCACAGGCCTCAGAGGCAAGCCACCAAAGCTCACCCGGGACAACGCGCTGGGCTCAGATCGGCGCAGACGCGAGGTCAGGCAGCCTGGTCTCGCAGGTTCCCGCTGGCTCTGCAAGGCCGCCGGCAGTATTCGTTCAGTGCTCGCTGCTGGTTCGGACTATCACACTTGCACGCCGTACACCCAGGCGATTTTGGCTCCCCCAGGCAAGGCCGAGGACAAGGTTCAGGACTGCGGGGAGGAACTGCAAAAGATCCAGGCCTTCTTGGGGTCCAGAGGGTTTCAGGATCTTCAGGAGAAGCATTTCGAGGTTTTGGAGGTGCTAGAAGCTAGTCTGTTCAAGCCCTTTCAGCAGCATGCTGGTCAGGCCAAAGCGGCTGCTCAACGCTCGCGGCGCGCTTGGTTGCTGGACGACATCGACGCAGGCGGCAGACGGGAACGCGCGTGGACGAAGGAGCAGCCCCCGTGGAAACCGTCCACCACCCTCTCGTCTCACAGGCAGGTCTCAGCAGATCCACCCAGCCCACTCGCTTCGGAGGCCCCGGCGATCGCGAACCTCTGGGAAAGCACTCGCGAGGAGCCCGACGAGACGCCCATCGAGCACAAGGAACCCTTGGATCCCATACCAACTGAAGTCTTATAACAAGCTTTTGGCCGCGGGAACAGATGCTTTTCATCGTATGCGAAGACGTTCCCTCTCGGAGCCCATCCTCCTCGTGCCCCCCATCCTCTATCACGCCATGGGGTCCACGCATATGCCCCCGAGACAGACAAAAACCATTGTTCTTTTCCTGCTTGAGAAGCCCTCGGGCGGGCGTCGCCCGATAGGGCTGTTTAGCGCAGTATGCAGAGTCTGGGGGAGGGCCCGCAGGGCGGCGCGTAGTTCCTGGGAGGTCAACAACGCCAGATCTGATCTCGCTGCCTCGGCCTTCTGCGGCGCCAGCGATGTAGTCTGGCGTCATGCAGTTAGGTCAGAGCTTGGAGTCAGAAAGGGAGAAGTGGCGGTTAGTGTTTTTTGGGACCTTTAAAAATTCTATGGACGTAATCCCTTATATGTGCTCCTAGCTCGGGGTGACATGTGAAACTTCCCTCGGTGTCATACGGCTGGCTGTTAAAGCGTATCGGGGTCCAACATTCGTTTCGCTTTCCTGTCTGGTGGAAGGGCCGCACTACGCTTCCTTGGGAGTTATAGATGGCTGCTCTATTGCAACAACTTGTGCAAGGATATGTCTGACCCCTGCCTTGGATTTGCTGGTTTCACCAAAGCAATTATATTTATCTATCGACATTGATGCTTACTGTCTGTCTGCTGCGGGTCCTGAGAGGCATGGCTCGGGCCACATCAAGGAGTCTGCTGCGGCGCTCACAGCCATCGTTGGGACCGAGCTGCGCAGCATTATTTCAGAAGACAAGGCCTCGCCCATCTCCTCGCCCGCCAAGCTCGGCATGGAATTGCGCAAGTTCTTCGGAAGTCTGAGCGGCAGCGCGGTCTCCACGGCAGTCAACTTAGGCATCGACGACACAGTCGGTCGCCCCCGCAGGCTTCCCAAACGGGCCCCAAAGCACCAGCAGAGGAAGAAGGTTCTTAAGACTCGGGTCAAGAGAATCGCCAGGGCCGGGGCTGTTTCGGGAAGGCATGCGGAGAAGATGTTTTGTTCTGGTGGTTTATCGGCTGCGACGCACGGAAGCGAAGTTCACGGAGTTTCCGATTATGAGTTGGAGAATCTGAGAAGAGCTTTTGGGAGAGTGGTCAAACCGAGTTCGGGATCAAGGTCCTTGACCCCCCTCACCACTCTCGAAGCTGATCCCTGTTGGTTCCCACCAGTCTCTCCGGTGGTTAGGTGCGCCAAAGAAGTTTGGTCCAACCAGCTGCGAGAATTCGAGTTTGCGAGCCCCTTTAGCCAGCTCAGGGAGGCGTGGTCCTCAGTATTTTCTTCAGCGTGTTTCAATGTCGTCAAGGCGCAGCTCAGGTCCCGCAAGCTCACTCCGCTGCAGAGAGGTTCCAAAAAGTGCTTCGCTTGCGACGGGCTGTGGACGAAGACCCGAGCGCAAGCGGCAGGCTACGCCCTAGAGGGCGATGTTCTGCTTTGTGCCCTTTGCCGAGGTGCGCTCGACACGATCCAGCATCGGTTGTGTCAATGTCCGGTGGTCGAAGATCTGAGATTGAAGATCGTAGATCATCGGTTTGTCCAGCAAGCCCGCCCTTGAGGCTCGGCCTGATCAGGCCGATGTCCATCTCTACACGAAGGCTTGCGTCCCGCACCCAGGTGATAAGCTACCACTACCAGCTAAGGAGTCGCCTATTTCAGTCTCTTGGGTTGGTTCGGACTCCACCAATACTGAGATCTCTGGGCATGTATTTTTTGACGGGTCCCAGACCAAGAGTGAGATAGATGAATTGAACAGGGCTGGTTGGGGGGGGGCGGTTCTACGACGATTTAGAACATGTATGTTCCATTTAGGGCCCAATATGGGCCGAGCTTCCCCCAACGTCCCAAGCTGGGGAGTTCAGCGCCTACGGTGCCTCATATGAGTTTTTGATCGTCCCATCAGTGGGCTACAGCGATGTTAGTAATGACGTTAAGCAGTTTGCCCAGCCGCTAGCACGCTTGACTCACTATAAGCGGCCATACGCTGGCATGTTTCTCAAGAGGCACTCTCTCTTTTCTAGAGAGGAGAAGGTTCGTGCCCATGTCAAAGACAGCGACGACCTCATTGACTACGAACTTGTCTATAAGAGAGGGAATCATGCTGCAGACCAGGCGGCCAAGCAAAGAGCTGCTTCTCACCCTCAACCCTCTCCTGTCGAGCCGCTGAAGTAGAGCGCCTCACGCCTACAGCTCGCAAGGTATGTAAGCTCTCTGTACTACCTATTTGGCCGAAATTGGACCTAACAGATGTTCCCTGGGTCCGCACATCTGAGTCAGCTGCGAAGGGGGCTGCAAATTCATTTGCCCACCAGTGGCACTGGTGTCTAACCTTTTGGCGCTGCCAGGTTTGTTTGCAGTTCAAGCGTCAGCAAGCACATCCGCCTGCAGGAAACTGTTCTGGTAGATTGCCCCAGCTTGCCCTCGGTTTCTAGGAGCGGGGCCACAGAGTGATCGGCCTAGAGTACTCTAGCGACACCACCTTGTATATGTGCACACAGTGCTTCGGGTACACGTGTGGTGGTCAGTTCAAGAAGCTTCGGGCCGATTGCTTGCCAGTGCCTTAAGGATCGCTGAGTAAGTACGCGGCTGCAGTGAAGAGATCGCTCGGCCGTGGACTCCACCCCAAGATCTCAGGGGTCACTTGTCAAGCGTTTAATCCAGATGATTTTGAGCAGGATGCGGAAAGCCAGCAATGTGTTCCTGTCGTCGAGCCGTCGTCGTCGTCGGGTGGGGTGGACCGTCCCGGTCCGATGGCTGGGCCTGATCCGCTTCCTGCTCGGAGTTCCTCCCCCATGGTCCCGAGGCCAATTGTCTTCGTCAGGGCCAGTCTTGGGGGGGGGGGCTGTTTTTCATACCCTGTTCGACCCTCCTGCCAGGCCCTCTCCCGCCAATGGGTTGGATAGGAGCCAGCGCGGGCAGCTGCGAGCAGTGCAGGAGCCTCTTCCCGAGGAAGATGTGGCTCCACTGGTGCAGGCGGCTGCTCGCGTAAGGGATTCAGAGTCTAGTGACTCTGACTTATTGGTCCTGGGGTCGCCGTTCACAGCGTCGGCCACCGCCCAGGTCCTTCTTTGCCAGACAAAACTGGCTCTCCCTGGTGGCACCTCCAGGGCACGTTGCAGGGTTAGAAAGATGACCCTCCTCCTCCTCCTCCTCTTCCACATCCTCCTCCTTCTGCTCCTCCTCTTCCTCCTCCTCTTCCTCCTCCACCCTCGAAGAGGAGATGAAGGATAGGGGGCACCCTGGAAAAGAGGGCAGAAAAGAGGGGTGAAGAATACTTAGATGAAGGCGGGGAACGAGGAGAAGGCACTGGGGGAGGGAGAGCGCAAGAGGGAGGATGCCGAGGAGAAGCGTGGAGACTCCTCATCTCCCGAAGAGAACGGAGAGGGAACAGACAAAAAAAAGGGGCGGCCTCCAACGAACGCTCCAGCTCCCTCTTCGGCTGCTCTTCCCTCGTGTCCCTGCCAGGCACCAGCAATGTGGGGGGGAAGGCGTACTCATTCTGATCCCTGCGGAAGGGAGCTCTCCTTAGAGGCCTCCAAAATGGGGTCGGAGTAGATGGGGTCGGAACATCGCGCCGCATCGCCGCATCGCCGATACATCGGCGATACATCGGCGAAACATCGGCGAAACATCGGCGATACATCCGCGACGCATCGGCGACGCACCAGCGATGCATCGTCAACGTCGGCGGTGCATCGGCGACGTCGGCGTGAAGCAAGTCGGGCTCCGCATCGAGCCGCATAGTCGATGCATCGGCGATGCGGCGCGATCCTCCGACCCCATCTACTCCGACCCCATCTGGGAGGCCTAGACTCCTGCGCCATCCCGAACGAAGAAGGCGTTTTCCTGCCGCCTTGTTGCCCCCTCCCTGCGTGCTGACACGGCACCCACCACTGGATGGCGGCTGTCTCGGTGGCAGCGAGCGGACGTGGTGCACATGCGCCCTGAAAAGGCCAGGCGATCATGCAACGAACACTTGCGAAAGCAAACCTGCTCACCAAAACCTCCGACGGTCCCGCTGATCCGTCTTGAAGGAATGCCTGAAGATGCCGTAAGAACACCCTGAAAAACTGATGGTGAGACATCCTCGACAAATTGATGGTCGCGAACTCGGAAAATATTCGGAAAAGGGCGCTTCGCCTGAGACATCCTCATCACACTGAATACTCACGATGCAAACTTTGGGGGTTAAAACAAGATTTGCCCACCGCCTGTCGTGGAAAATTGAACTAGCTGGAACCAAGGGATAATGATACAAATATGAAGGATTCGTGTGGGGATTATATGTTATCGTCGAAATGCGGCTACGAAAAGGGAATCTGGGCCCCATCGGGGAGCCCAGAAAAGAGCAGAAGGCGAACCACAAACAGCAACAACATCTGATCCCTGAGCGTCGGGAACCGGGCTGGGACTCGCGGCCAGAACAACAAAAATGAACGCGCACACGGAACACACAAAGATGAGACCGCACACGCTTACACACACACACAACCACACACACACATGCACGCACGCTCGCATGCACACGCACACGCACGCATACATATATATATATATATATACAAACATGACGCATATATATATTATGTGATTTATCTGTTTTTATATATACGTGCATCTATATATATATATATATATATATATGTGTGTATGTATGTTGGGTCGTCGGCTAGACGGAGGGCGACTGCGCTGGCAAAAAGAGGCTTAAACGGGGATGCAGTCAGAGCGAATTGTGCCACCATTCACAAGGGGGAGGGAAAAACGACGCGACCGAAGGAAAACAGGGACGAGGCGGGCGGCCCAGGGGTCAGAACGCACCACACACAGACACACACACACACACACACACACACACACGCACACACACACACACACACACACAGACACAGACACAGACACACACACACACACACACACACACACACACACACACACACAAACACACGCACACACACACACACACACTCACAAGCACGCGCGCACGCACGCACCCACACACACGCACGCACTCACGCACCCGCACACACGCACACACACACAGGGAGGCGTCGGCGCTGGGCCAGGGCTGGGCCTGGCCAGGCTCGGTGCTTGTGCAGCACAAGCTTCCCCCCCCCCTTCTCGCGAGTCGTGAGGCGGCGATAGCCGAGCTGTCGGCGCCCCTCTGATCAGGAAAGCTCCTCTGGCACACGCCCCCCCCTTACCAGCCTCAAAAACGATGACAATACTAGGGATGCGCCCTCGAAAAATAAGGGAATCCCTAAGAGTGGCATCGTGATGAGGAGATGCCCAGCATAGGGATAGGGACATGTTCCAGGCTGGTAACCCCCCCCTCGTGGGCCTCCCGAGGCTGCGATGCCTGCGACGCCGGCGGCCCTCGGAGCAGGCGAGCACACCTGCCGCGGTCGGGCAGCGCGGCCGTGCCCACGGCCTCGTGGCCCGGGCCCTCTGGGCCGCGGCCCTGTGGATGCGGGGCGCTCTGCTCACGGAGGAACCCAGAGCGGCACGCACCCGTGCGAGCGCGCACGCGCCGGTCGGAAGAAGCAGGTGAAAGCATGGAGCAGGGAAAAGCGGCCTGGAAGCAGATCGGGCTCCGGCCCTCCCAGGGAATAGCAGGACACGGAGCGCCACAGATCGGCTCTTCAAGCAGGAAGGCGCTCGAAGTACGTTGGGATCTGGGAAGCCAGGAATGAAGGGGCCCCAGGACACACAAATAAATACACACAAACAAAAGGATTCCCCATATTTTCCTATATTTTCTGGGTTTCTGTCTTCCCCCCACTTCCCATATTTTCCCATATTTTCTAGTGAATCGACGATTAATTGTGTCTGTGCGTTTTTTTCCCTCCTGAAGAAATGCCCATTTTCAACGACCGGCGCGTATCCACAGGACCCTTTCTTCTTCCTCCTCGCTCTCGTGTCTTCTCTCTCGCCGCTCTGCTGCCCCGCTGCTCCCTCTCTCGCTTCGTTCTGTCTTCGTCCCTCCTGCACTGTTTGCGTCGTGGCCCGTCTCTCGCTTTCCGCTGCCCTGCACTTGCGCGGCTCAGCACCTCGATCGACCTTTCTTGACGCTGCGCGGCCGATTCCGCGTCCCCCGCAGTCAAAAAAACGTAGCCACAGCACCGCGCCCCAGAGTCCGCACCGCGAGGGCGTGGGCACAGGCACGCGTGCCGCTCGGGAAGAGGGGCCCTCGCTGCTGAGAAACGGGGGGGGGAGCAGCCTCTCGGGCGGAGCGGGCAGCCCCGCACGCGGGGCGCGACGACGACGACGACGACGACGACGACGACGACGACGACAGCGACGTCGACGACAGCGACGACGACGACGACGACGACGACGACGACGACGACGACGACGGCGACCAGCGACGGCGGCGAGGGCGACGGCGGACGGCGGCGGCGGCGACGGTGAGGGCGACGGTGAGGGCGACGGCGGAAGGCGGCGACGGCGGCGGCGACAACGCCGCAACCGCAGGGGTGCAAGAGAGGCCTCGGGGCGCGCGCGCTGCCGGAAGCCAGCGGCGGAGACGTCGGCCGAAGGCTCGCCTCTCGAGCAGCTGGCCCCGTGGGGCCGCCGAGGGGGCCGAACGACGACGACGACGACGACGCCCGACGACGCCCGACGACGCCCGACGACGCCCAACGACGACGACGACGACGACGACGACGACGACGACGACGGCGGCGGCGACGACGACGACGACGACGACGACGGCGACGTCGGGGAGCGAGACCAACACAAATGACACGCCGCCATGCGAGGCCCGCCGGCGAGCTGCCGCCGGACCCGGGCCAGAGGGGCATCCCTCCAGGGCAGGAGGCCCTCTGCTGACCAGAACGAAAAGAGAGAATATATCCGGGGGGCAGAAGGGCATCCCTCAAGGGCAGGAGACCCTCTGCCGACCAGAACGAAAAGAGAGAAATGTAATTATCCAGGGGGGGGGGCCCTCCCCAGGAGGCACGAGGACATCCAACAAGCACGAAGAGCACACGAGGGCACCCTCCCCGAACCGACCTCGATCCTCTACCTCGGTCCGACCGTACTGTTGAGGGCTCGCCGCCGAATGAGCTCGTTTCTTTTTAGGCTCTGGCAAGATTACTTGCGTGGACGGGGGGGGGGGCCTGAACCTGAAGCAAGCCGCAAACGACTTGCGCGTGTGGAAATCACGCAAGTCGAAAGGCACTTGCACGCTAGCATTCGTGTGCAGATGGGCGGGTGGGCGGGGTTGGGGGGGGGGCCGAGGGCCCCGGGCAAAGACCCGAGGAGCCCCGCGCCGACGGGGGGGGCCTGCCACGGCGGCGTGCCGCAGAGCGGCGACGGCCGCACGACCGGCGGGCAACCCACAGGAAAACGTCACGCCTCGGGTGGGCCTGCGCGTGGGGACGGCTCCGCCTCCTCCTCGGCCTCCTCCTCCTCCTCCTCCTCATCCTCGTCCTCGTCCTTGTCTTCCCCCTCCTCGTCCTCCTCCTCCTCCTCTCCTCCTCCTCCTCCTCCTCCTCCTCCTCCTCCTCCCCTCTCCTCCTCCTCCTCCTCCTCCTCCTCCTCCTCCTCCTCCTCCTCCTCCTCCTCCTCCTCCTCCTCCTCCTTGTCCTCCCCCTTCCTCCTCCCCCCAAGACACCCCCCACGGGACGCCCCCTCCGCAGGAGGCGCGGCGGCGGGGCCGCGCAGGGGGCGGGGCCGGGCAGCTCGCGCGGCGGCGCCCTGCCTCGCGCCGGGAGCCTGTGGCGCCCCTCTGTGTCTCCCCGCCGGGTTCGCTGTCTGTTCCCGGGGGGGCCCTGGGCGGCGCCACCGAGAGCTAGACAGGCGCGCTCCACTGCTCGCAGAAGAGCCACTCGCAGGTGGCCCGGATCCGCGGCGGGGGATCCACGGTGCGTCGCGTCGAGGCGAACGCGCGTTTCGTTTCCAGCGTTTGCGAGGAGGCACTCTGTGAGTAGTGGAACGCGCTCGGGGAAGATCAGCCTCTCCTGAATCTGGGCCGCAGTTGGCCCTTCCTGCTCCTCCTCCTCCTCCTCCTCCATCGACGCTGTCGACGCTAGCCGGCGCCACGGGCAGCGAGTCAGCTCACGCAGCTTGCTTTACTGGCGCCACAGGCGGCATGCATTGAGGAAAAAACAACCAAAAAGCATGAAACATCCTGAGTCGCTCTGGGAGGTCCCTGGGCTTGGGAACGGCCTCGGGAGGCCCGAACACGACGACCACAAGCCCGTCGCCGCGTGATTTCCTGCATTCGCCAAGATCTGAGGGGAGAGCGGCGGCAGCTGCACCCATGGCATCACCCAGGTCTCTCGGTGGATCTCGGCGCGACCTTCCTCCGGGCCCCCCAGAGGCGCGGGCGGGGCCCCGCTCGGCCTGCGCACGACCGCACTCCGCCGGACCTCACCTGCCCTCCCTGCTCGTCCTGCCCCTTCTGCCTTGCCCCCCCCCCCACTGCTCCTCGATGGGGTAAAAGGGGGGGGCGCGGACGCACAAGGACATGCTGGTACTGCGTGCCTCTGTTGGAGGCGCACGTCCGACGCGAGCACACAGTACTAACACATTGTGTCCCGAGCGGTGTGACCAGCAAGCACCCGGCACCGACCATGCACTCTTAGATTTCACAGCGCGCGCGTCGCCCCTGGGATGCAGATGCACACACTCACACACACACGCACGCTGTTAGTACGCATGTTTGGATGTTGCCGAGGGGAGCTAAAAAAATCTCGGCAGAGTTCGGTCTGCTGGTCTCTTGCTTTCGCACTACTGCCTCGAAGGAGGGGCCGAAGCCTGAGCCGCGAGCGGCCAGCCCGAAGCGAGCCCTCCTCCGCCCCTCCCCCCCGCTCTCCGGCGCCTCCCCCCCTGGGCCGAGGGCAGGATCGCGCGGCATCGGATCGGCGGGCCGAGGTGGACCCGATGACACGAGACGACGTCTTCACCGTGGCAGTGGCCCCCAGAAAGTTCAGCTGGCTCCGGTCTGGCCTCGTCGCTTTAGCGTTAAGTCGGGCCCGTCCCCCTACACGGGGATGTTCGACGAATTCTTTTTTTTAATACCCCCAACAAAAATCAAAAAATAGTTGAGTAATGATCTCTTTGGGGTACTATTTGTTGAGTATTTGTTGATCTCTTTGGGGTACTTATGTTATATTTGTCGTCGAAATTACCCCTGTAGGGGGACAGGCCCGACATAACTTTAGCGCTCTGGACCAAAATTCAGAATAGTGAAGTGCGAGCACGTCCCAGCCATTACGACGAATTCTGCGAGCTTGGTCGTCGGACTTCTGTCGCCCAAGGGATCTAGGGCCGTGAAAACCACCACCGGCCCCAGCCAACCTCCATGCACTACCGCAGGTGACCGCTCGCAGAGCGACGACGACGACGACGCCCGACGCCCAACGACGCCCGACGACGACGACGACGACGACGACGACGACGACGACGACGACGACAACGACGACAACGACGACGACGACGCCCGACGCCAGACACCCGACGACGACGACGACGACGACGACGACGACGACGACGACGACGACGACGCCCGGCGCCCGACGCCCGACGCCCGACGACGACGACGACGACGACGACGACGACGACGCCGACGACGCCGACGACGACGACGACGACGTCGCCGATGACGCCGACGACGACTGCGGCCGCGGCGGCGGCGGCGGCGGGAGCAGCGGCGGCGAGGGGCGGGGCGGGCGCGCCCGAGCTCGGTGTGGGCGGCCCGGAGGCCGGCCAGCACCTCCGACAGTGGGGGGGGGAGGAGGAGGCGGGAGGAGGAGGAGAAGGAAAAGGAGAAGGAGGCTGGCCAGAGGAGGAGGAGGAGGGAGGAGGAGGAGGAGGAGGAGGAGGAGGAGGAGGAGGCTGGCCAGAGGAGGAGGAGGAAAAGGAGGAGGAGGCTGGCCAGCACCTCCGCCAGGGGGGGGGAGGAGGCGGAGGAGGAGGAGGAGGAGGAGGAGGAGGAGGAGGAGGAGGAGGAGGAGTAGGAGGAGGAGGAGGAGGAGGAGGAGGAGGAGGAGGAGGGGGCTGGCCAGCACCTCCGCCTGGGGGGGGGTGAGGAGGCGGGAGGAGGAGGAGGAGGAGGAGGAGGAGGAGGAGGAAGAGGAGGAGGAGGAGGAGGAGGAGGGGACGCTTGGAACCGGGCACCAAAGCCACAACTCGGGGGCGCGCAAACATGGATCGGACCCTCCCCGAAACGCGGCTGGTGCCGCCTCGCTCGGCGGCGGAAATGCGCGGTCTCCCACGGAAGCGGGGCCCGTCGCTAGTCCACGCGCCCTTTACCCATGTTTGCGATCGCCTGATTGGAACTAGGCATCAAAGCCAAAACAGAGGGGGTGCGTCCCTAGAGGCCTCCCAGATGGGGCTGGAGTAGATGGCCGAATACATCGGCGATGCGCCAGCGGTGCAATGTCGGCATCGGCGATGTGCATCGGCGGCGTCGACGTGAAGCAAATCGGACTCCACATCGAGCCGCATCGATCGTCGTTGCATCGGCGGTGCGGCGCGATCCTCCGACCCCATCTACTCCAACATCATATGGGAGGCCTGGAGGCCCACTGGAGGAGGATGCTGCCAGATGTTGTTGTTGTTGGTGGTAAGGTTTCGGCCACCTCGGGAGCCCGAACATGACCACCATCACCGAGATCGGGGCCCTGCTCAGACTGCCGCCCCCCGGGTTCCAGGCGGGTCCCAGGGGGTGGGGCGCCAGCGGGGGTTCAAATGGGAGGCCCCGCCTTCAGGGTCGGCGGCACTGGCCGTACAACTTTAATCGCACCAGCCATCTGGGCGTAGGTGGTCTAGGGAGGCTCCTCTTCCAACCCCCTTCTTCCCCTTCGGGGAGGGGTTTACCCCTTCCCCTACCCCCTCCCCTGGACCTGCGCTTCGCGGCTACATCCGGATAATGCGCGGCCCCCCCGCGATCACTGTGAAGTGGTTGTTGACGGGACGGCGGGGGTGGTGGCGTATGGCCTGCTGTGCGCAGGCCCACCAGACACAATGGTGAGCATTGGTTTTCGACAAGGAGGGTGGGGGCCGACAGGTTTCCCGGTGTGTGCTGTCACGTGCGCAGGCGCACCTGACATGCTCTGCACGCTTCCCGAACGCGGCGCACCTGGCGCGGCCGGAGTGTGCGGCACGCCTGGCGCACTCGGAGCACGTGGCGCATCTGGCGTGCCAGGCGTGCCTGGCAAGCTCGGGCCCCAGGGGTGCCTGGCGCGGTTAGCGCGCCTGGCACGCATGGCGCACCTTGCCCAACCGTCGCGCACATCGGGTCGGTTTTGGTTCCCAGTAGCTGTCCATCCAAAGACAACCGCTGAACATGCTCAGACTCAGGTGTTACTTCTGTATTGGGAGGGCGGGTGGGAGTGAGCTAGACGGCTTGCTATCTAGGGGGTGCCTTGACCCCTCCCTCTACCCCCTCCCCTGGACCTGGACGGGGGGGTTCTAGGGTAGTTGGAGGGTCCAAGATGGCCCAAGACGGCTCCAACAACGCCTCAGAGAGCCCCAAAAGACCTCCAAGATGGCTCACGATAGCCGAAGATGGCTCAAAATGGCTTCCAAGATGCTCCAAGGGGCCCTGGGAACGCTCCAAGATGGCTCCAAAAGGCCTCCGAAATTTCCAAGGAGGCCCCCAAGAAGCCAACACCCTCATCCTCCTTCCATCCCTCCCTCCATGCTCCCTCTTCCGTCCCACCTCCCTCCTCCCGTATCCTTCTCCTCCCTCCTTCTCCCACCGTGGCTATCATCACCTCTCCCTCCTGCTCCTCCACAGCTCTTGCCTTGCTCTCCTCCTCCTCCTCCTCCCCCTCCTCCGCCTCCTCCTCCTCTTTCAGGTATCACAGAGGTCCGATACCGCTATTCCCCAGACCTCTCTCAAGGGTGCGCTCTGACCAGAACTTCGAGGCGACTCCAGCCGTGACGGCAAGGGTCGCCCAGGAAGAGCTTTCCACAGAGAGGCGAGGACGAGGCGAAGGGTAGCGGTACCCGCGCCCGTTCCTCCGCCTGCTCCGTGGCCTCCACTTCCTGACCCTGCCTCCCCCCCCGATTGCCACCGCCTCCTCGGTGCGGCGCGCTCCCTGGCGCACCCGCGCAGGAAGGGGGGTGGTGAGGTGGCAGGCGGAGCAGGGAGCGAGGCCGAGGCGCCGCGGGGCGCCTCGGCCAGCTGCTGCCGGGGGTCCGGCGGCTGCTGGGACCACATCCCTGCCGGCGCCTGTGCCCTCCCCGACTTGTCGATCGAGGTCGGCCAGCAGCAGCAGAGGCGAGGCAGGCGACCCGAGGAGGAGGAGGAGGAGGAGGAGGAGGAGGAGGAGGAGGAGGAGGAGGAGGAGGAGGGGAGGAGGAGGAGGAGGAGGAGGAGGAGGAGGGGTAGGGGGAGGAGGAGGGAGGAGGAGGAGGGGTCGCCTAAGCCCCTGGGTGTTATCCATCACCACCGCCTCGGGCGCGCTCTTCGGAGCCCTCGCCGGGCGGTGGACAATGGAAACACGCGTCGCCCCCCCCAGGGCCCGAGCGTAATTACCTGCACTCACCGCCCGTCGAGGCCAACGAAGATCGATGTCCCGGGCGGCGGTGATGCACATAAATCCCAGCCTCGGAGAGGAGGAGAGTAGCGATCGGCGCCGCCGCGCGCACTGGTGATCCAGGGCACGTGCGAGCGTGGGGCCGCCGCTCCGCCCACGCCGGCACAGCTCCGGCCAGGGCTGCGAGCGAGGACGGGGGATGTGCAGAGCGTGCAGCATCCACGATGCGCTGGCCCGACGGGCCAGAGGCGTGCTCAGGCCTCCGGCAACAGGCCAACCACATTCCTGCAGTTCGTGCGAGCGTGGCGGCCCCCCTGGGGACCCCGGACGAAGAGCACCCCCGGGCGGTGCCCGGTCGACTCGCCCGCGGCGCTCCAGGAGCGCACCAAGAGGGCGCCGGGACGCACCCTGCACGGCCCAAGAGGCCCCGAGTCGCCGAAAGATCGCTCCGAGACGGAGACGCGCAAGATGGTCTCCAGATGGCCCCAGGGGCCGCGAAAAAGCCCCAGGAGAGCCTCAAGAGACTCCCCATGTGATCCCCACAATCAAAAATCGACTCGTTCTCATCGTGATTGTTCGCATGTGTGACGTTTCTCGTCTTTTCGGTTTTCCAACACTCCAAAACGGCCCGAGAGGCCCCCAAGACCGCCCCAAGACAGCCAAAGAAGTCTCCAAGATGGCCCCAAGACGGCCCAACATGGCCCCAAAGCAGCCCCCGCCCAAGATTGCCCAAGAGCCCAAGAGAGCTCCAAAACGGCCCCAAGAGAGGCCCAAGACGGGGACCAGGAACCGAAAAGTCCAGCCTTCAAACCCTAAGAGGCCCCCAGGAGGCCCCAAGAGGTCCTCAAGAGGCCCCAAGGGGCCCCCGAGAGGCACCCCAAGAAGCCCCAAGAGGCCCCAACACGGCCCCGACACGGCCCCCAAGAGGCCTCAAAACTGCCTTCCAGAGGCCCTGAAGAGGTCCCAACACGGCCCCCAAGCGGCGAGGCAATATGGGCCGGCGGAGTGAGCGAAGCGATAAAACAAATCGTTGACACGAACTACCTTCGGCGGTGGACAAACCTCCCTCTGGCAAACCGCCCTTCAGTGAAAACGGCCTGGGACCGAAACCGACGGACCTGGACCCGCAGAAGTGACGGCCGCGACGCCCTCTCGCGAACCGAAAACGGCCAATTCGCTGATCGACGTGTCAGGGTAGGATTAGGTCGGGCGTGTCCCCTACAGGCAGATTTTGGACGGAATGCCCAACACATACTCCAAAAATGCTCAAAAGTAGTCAAAAAAATCGTCGACTGACTACATTTTCATTATTTGCGAAAATTCTTCCTGTAGAGGGGCACGCCCGACTTAGGGTAGGAGGTCTGGCCATCCCCCGATACCTCAAGGCTCAGGGAAGTGCTCGGGCGCCCGCCCACCTGCCCTGACAGCAGACATACGGAGGAGCCGCCGCGTGGCCCTCCGCTCGGGACTCTCAGATGCCCCCCCCCTCCCCAGGCATCCCTGCTCGGACGTGTGCTGAGGCTGCTGCGCACACCCTAGAAGAAGAAGAAGAAGAGGAAGAAGAAGAAGAAGAAGAAGAAGAATTAACGCCATAAACACAAACTCTTGGCGCTCCGCGCGGATGTCTTGGATCTGCGCTCTGACCCCCTCCCTGGCGCGCGGGGCGCGCCAGGGGCGGTGCCGGAGGCGCCGCCGGGTGGGGCCCAGCGCCGATCCAAGAAAGCCGCGCGGAGCACCGAAAGTTTCTGTTTATGGCGTGTTTCCTCCTTCGGTTCCAAGCATCCCTGCGCGGCTTGTACTGTGGCTGCTGCGCCAACTCGATACGTGAACCGAGCCAAACGGAGGATACAATGCAAACCTCCTCCTCCTCTTCTTCTTCCTCCTCCCTCCTGTAGAGTTGGGGTCCCTTCGATTCGCTTAAGACTCTGGGAGGCCAGCTTAGGCCTGCGTACGTGAGGCGGGCGTGTGTGGTCGTGGGGCGTGCGTCAGAAGTGCACGTTCGCATCATATATGCATATACACATGTATGAATGGTTTTGAGCACTCCCAAACGTGTTTAGAGTGGTCGATTGGGGTATGCCTCAACGAGTTTGAGGCGTTGGCCTTTGGAAGGATCACAGGGGCACCAACTATACGAGGGCGCCACCTGCGGAGAGCCAGCGGGTACTGTTTTGGCACGGGCTGGCACACGCAGCGGTTGCTGATGCCAGCAAGGAGCTTCTCTGGACTGAAAGGGGTCCGACGCGTGGTCAAGCAGCTCATGCACCAAAAACGGTCAGGCAGACCTCACGGCCACAGAGTGAAAGCATGTGCCTGCAGCAAGAACGCCCCGTCCTGGGGACGGGACCGTCCACAGTTTTTCGAGCCTTGCCGTGACCCCACTGCTGGCAGCCAGTTTTGCCGCCGCCCAAGCGAAACATGTAGTATGTTTCCTACTGTCCTGGACCCTGACCTCGAAGCTCTTAGTCATTGCGTCTTGCATAGCGCAACATTCAGCACCCAGTTGAGCAAAGTAGTCAGCCCGCTGATACCCAAGAAGACACCACAAGAGATCGAGACCCCAATAGGTTCTCAAGTGCTCGCGTATCTTGCTGTGCAACGACCGCCGTCATCTCATCATGAGCCGCAATACCATCATTCCATCACCACACACACACACCGTCTCATCATGATCAGCAGCATCATCATCATCGCCACCATAATATTAAGATTCCCCATTGTCTGCCCGTTGCTCAGCGAGTCCCGCCTGTTACATGAAGTGCGCACGGTGGGCACAACCAGTCTTGCTGGCAATGCCTGAACCCAATTCGAGCCAACACGGCCTGGGCCGTGGTAGCGCATGGGGTGGGGCGAGGAAGACTGTGAGGGGGCAACATGGCGAAGCAGGGGAACCCCATAGCAAAAATGCGCCACAGACCGGAGAACGCGCGCCCGACAGCGGACACACTCGCAAACCGACAGAAAACTTACTCCGAGATCGACTACGTCTGTTGCGCCACTGCTGACCGTGACGCACCACGGTGAAAAATCACGTGCTCATCACCGAGTCTCTGGCGGCTGGGACGATACAGGCACCCCCGGAACGCTCTCGACGAGGCGCAGCTGCTGGAAAGCACCTCGAGGCTGGAAAACCTTGCGGAACCGCCCGGGCCAGGCCGCAGCGAGGGATCCGACGCGTCGCGTGGTCAGGTGCATTGGCGCGCATGCTTCGTATGCACCTCGGGCTCCCTCTGCCGTCGCCTCCCGACACACGCATCCAAGAAGAGGTACCATGGCAGGCACGACGAGGGGGCCGATGCCCGCGACAGCGCAGGCAGACGCGCAAGACGTGTTGCCCCGAGGCTGATCCTCGAGGAGGGGGGGGGAAAGAGCTGGCGAAGCTTACGCGGTGCGATGCGATACCGTGCGGGGACCTCGCAGTCTGCAGCGGCCTCACCGCCAGGTCCGTCGCCGCACGGCTGTGGAGCATCGGGGGCCTCAGGCGCCCGAGACGTCCTAGGAGAACGGCCCAAGTCCAAAAACCGTGGGATCACCCCGGATCCCCACTGACTCGCCACACGGTGTGGTCACCGCAATTTTTGGGGGCCTCCGAGGAGAGAAGGAGCAGGAGGAAGACGTCTCTTTGGGGACGTCTCTGTGGAGGCGGGGGGGTCGCGCGCCGCGCCCCTACACCGGGAGGAGGAGGAGGAGGAGGAGGAGGAGGAGGAGGAGGAGGAGGAGGAGGAGGAGGGCCCGGCCCTGACGCGACACGTGTGCGTGTGTGTGTGTGTGCGTGCGTGCGTGAGTCCGTGTGCGTGTGCGCGTGTGCGTGTGCGTGTGCGTGTGCGTGTGCGTGCGCGTGCGCGTGTGCGTGTGGAGTGCGTGTGCGTGTGAGTGTGCATGTGCGTGTGCGTCTGCGTCTGCGTCTGCGTATGTGTGGTCGTGTGCTTATGTTTGCGTGTGCTCGTGTGTTCGTGTGTTTGTGTTTGTGTTTGTGCGCTGTTGTGCTTGTGTGTGCCTGTGTATTTGTGTGTATGTGTGTGTGCTTGCGTGTGCTTGCGTGTGTTTGTATGTGTGTGTATGTGTTTGTATGTGTGCGTGTGCGTGTGCTGCGTGAACGTGCGCGTGAGCGTGCGCGTGCGCGTGCGCGTGCGCGTGCGCGTGCGTGTGCGTGTGCGTGTGCGTGTGCGTGTGAGGGGTGCGGGTGTTGTGGTGTGGGGGTGTGGGGGTGGGTGGGGGTGGGTGTGTGGGTGTGGGTGTATGGGTGTGCGGGTGTGTGGGTGTGTGTGTGTGTATGTGTGGGTGGGTGTGCGTGTGTGAGTGTGGGTGGGTGAGAGTGTGTGGGAGTGTGTGTGTGGGGGGGTGTGTGGGGGTGTTGGGGTGAGGGGGGGGAGGGTGAGTCTGAGGAGGGTGTGGGCGTGTGTGTGTGTGTGTTGGTGATGGTGTGCGTGATCGTGTTGGTGTTGTTGGTGGTGTCGATGTTGGTATTGGTGTTGGTGTTGGTGTTGGTGTTGGTGTGTGTGTGTTGGTGTTGGTGTTGGTGTTGGTGCGGGTGTTGGTGTAGTGTTTGTGTGCGTGTGTTGGTGTTGGTGTTGTTGTAGGCGTTGATGTTGGTGCTGGTGTTGGTGATGGTGTTGGTGATGGTGTTAGTGGTGTTGGTGGTGCCGGTGTTCGTGTTGGTGGTGTTGGTGTTGGTGTTGGT